GCCTTAGCGTCGCGCGACCGGGGGTGAGAAGGTTGAGTGCGCAACAGATAGGCTTGTCGAGATCGTAGATCGACGAAGCGCCTCCATATTATCCGCCAAGGCACAGATATGCCTATTCAATTGGCGTCGCCAGTCTACGAGCATTTACATAGGTGGGGCCTGTTTGGACGATCTCATCCATCACATCCACGGCCAATTAGGTTGTGTGTTTCAGCGCCCATTATTATGATGCTGTTGCCCTGTGCTCCCAGACTGGAACAACTAAAGCGCACCCAAACATAGACCTCCAATAATTAACTTTCGTTAGCCGCAGAGGACTCCAGTCAGCGTTCATGAGTTTTGAAGCATGGTACCTCTTCCTGCTAGTGGGCGGATAGTGACCAACTACCCAGTCACAAGGCATCACTCCAAAAGCCATACAAACCATTCCGCTTGATAATATCCTCAACATGCAAATCACGTAGACGAAACCCAACTCCCGCAGCCGAACATAACAACTCAAGTTCCACCTTGAAGTCCGCAAACTCCTCTAACATGGCAGGCATAGGACGAGGTTTAGCGTTAGACTCCTCAGTTGACTGCTGGACATGCATCCAGTTTCCCTTGACCTCTAAATAAGTCAGGTTTGGGCAGCGGTACTTCCCTCCTAAGAGCAGGTCCCTAAACGCCTCAGCTAGTTCAGTTGTATGCTCTGTCTCTAGACCATCAAGGATAAGGCTTTCCAGCGATAGAGGCAAAACATCACTGAATCTATTCCTTGATGTCTCGTTTAGGTCACTCCAGCCTCGGTCCCAGTCTAGTATATGGGATATCTGCAGCCGAAGTTCCTTCAGCGCACTGAATCCCGCGAATGATCCGACGTAATCATAGTCGTGAATCTGGTAAGCGGTATAATTGTTGGTGCACTCGTCGGTCAGTGTTAACGTTTGCAAGGTCTCCCGATGTCTTTGCAATGGTGGGTAGTATCTCGACGCGTACATCCCCTCATCATCCGCGTAATTCGGGTTATCGGAATGCTCAAAGATGAAAGATTCGAGGCTCTTGGGTGCGCCGATCAAATTCGCAAAGCCTCTTCGAGAACAACTGGACTTGAGGTGGATATGAGTGATATTGGAGTACCGAACATTGTCAGGCACGTAGCTGGCCGCATCGAACGATTGATCTTCGGCATATTCCTCATCAGAGCTACCACCATCACATATCATATGGCCACAAAAGCTTCGTAAGGAGGGAAGTCGAAGTATTGGGAGAAAGTGCGATGAGCTGAGGCCACCATCTACATCAGAACACACGACCGTGAAGTGTCTTAATTTAGACAAACCAGAGCTTTCTTTTTCGGCGATCCTGACCATCCACTCGAGAGTGTAGTTTGAAAATTCATGAACCTGCAGGACCAGATCCTCCAGATTAGGCAAGAGGGCCAGAAGCAGGACAGTCCATGCGTCATTATTCCCTCGACTCTGTAGTTCCAAGTCCCATGTGGATAGGTTGTCGTCGGGCCCTAGGGTTGATTTCAGAACTGGCAGGATAACCTCCTGTTCATATCGCACGCCGGAAGTCGGCCGCCAGCCATGGGAGACACGGAAAGTGCGCACTTCTTGCGCTAATGCCGGCTTGAATGCGAGTGTGTGCACCAGATGACTCAAGTGGCCATTGCGGTGCTCTATCAGGTCGAGCGATGCAAAGACTTTGGGTAACAAAAGTGGATAGAAGGCACGGCAACAGGAGGCGAGCCGCAGAGTATCCGTGTGGCTATCAAGATAGCTTGCTATTGAGAGCAGCAGCTCTGCTGGTAACGTAGAGAGCATGTTTCTTTCTGAAGGAGGGGGGGGGGGGGGGGGGGGGTTT